AGTTTCCGACCTTGTATTAATATAAGTAGGTTAAACAATGGCATATCAAAAATGGCGTAAAACCTCTTAAAAACGAAAGATTTTCAACCAGGAAGGTAAGAGACGTTTTATTTATGTTAGAATAATATTATTTAGGCAAAAAAAAAATTGTGCGAACGACATATTTTATACTAAGTTATTGAGCCTGGGTTACCTGTGGTCTAAGGCGCTTGGCGTACAATTCAGAGGTCGCGGGTTCGAAACCTGGTGGGAACATGAAATTTATTTCGCAGCCAAAAATATTATAGAAGTTACTATAGTAACCAAATTAAGTGAATATATAAATATTAATAAATAATAATTCATCGAAAAGCACAGGGAGACCAACTAGAGGAAGTAAGTAGAATAACATTAATATAATTAATATGATTAAATAAATAACCGCTGACAAAAACATCGCAGGCTCAAGTTTACAGGAAAGTGATCGAGCGAGCGAGCGAGCGAGCGAGTGACAGCTGTCCCATCCCAACAACTCTACGATTGCTGACGCAATCTCCGAGTTAAAAATTAACAGACTTTATTTTCTGTGGATAAGCTTGTAGTCTTTTAAGGAGCCATACAGAGATTGAAATAGATAACGCCCTTGTGTAAAAAGATAAATTTAACACCGTAAAAAAAGTAGGTGAAATAAGTTACCTGACGTTTCGGACGTTAATCCTTCGTCGGAGTAAAGAATACTAGCTTACGTAATATTATCATATCCTTTGAAGTTTATTCACCTAAATCAATAAAATGAGAGTTGAGGGTCAGCTTTCGCCGGACGCCGGGCATCATCAGGTCACGAAAATCTAAGACAAAAGTTAAACTAGTAAAATCTACTATCCAGCAATTTTTTGGGTCCTTTAACTGTTCGAGTCAAACATTGATGCACATGTTACGTAACCAGTCATGTTTCACGACAAGCGCATTGTGACTTGTTGATCAGACATGGCTGGCTTTGTKAAGGTCATCATTGGTTTCTATATAATAAATGATGGGACGGCCTATGAACGACACAAAGGTCGAATAAKCATTCAGGTGAACACAAATCTGTTGARCTGATGAAAAAAACCATCCTCACTGGGGCTGAAAGGTCTTGCCTCTATTGACACCCTCTAACAAACGTGTTATTCTTTTTCTTCGACATAAAACGTCACTCCTGAGTGATACACTGTCTACAATATAAACAGACTATTTATTTTATTTGCCGGATACTGGMATAGGTCTTCACTTTTAGAAGAGTATTTGKGACTGCATTAACAAAATGAAAAATAATATGTAATATAATATAACAAAGTCACTGTGCTAATGAATTGCAGAAAGACGAATCATCCTCAGGAACCCAGGGGTAATCTTCTGTCGTTCGTTCCTCACTCCTCACTCCRGGAGTGAGGAACGAACGACACAAGATTACCCCTGGGTTCCCGAGGATGAAAGACGAATGTGCAAAACAAATTTGTTTGAAGACACTTATATGAAAGAAATTTCCCTTGAATAGCTCGTAGGTGCCGTATCATCGAGTCTTACAATGCAAACTCTTTTGTCATTTGTTATATTATCTAAATCATATGGGTTGAAATTGCACAGGACTCTTGATAGATCCGATATTTGTCAATCTCGTACCCAAACCCTTTTCGTCCTCATTCGGAGTAAATCTCGAAATTTCAAGCTACATGATTGGCTGAATTATAAATTTGCATTTTCGCGACCAAAAAATACGATCCAATTGTTTTCGATCCGTTTTCTTATAAATGTTTCGAGCAAAAATGCTGGGATTCCATGTTGAAATTTAGTTAAGGAAACAAACAAACAAACAAAAAACTAGATTAAACATGTGTCTCACGGCAATTACATGTGGTTGTTGTTGAGGTGCGAGTTCAATCACCCACCAACCACAAATCAACCAACCATCCATCCCAAAAAAAATGTATGGAACTGGTCAGGTTCTGTGGGTACCTCTTTAGGGTCTTGATCATTTTAGTCATGACAAGTTTTCCATCATTAACTGACCGCATCGTGGTTAAACAAAATGATCAATGTCAATATTTTCCAAAATATAATTAATTCATGCAGTCTGAAAAAGAGATTAGCCTATTCACACATCGACATCAACAGCAGACGCAACTGTAATAGTCACATTGAGGTACATTGTACAACTTTCTACAGCACTAAATTCTTCTTTAGCAGAATGTAGGGATCGAGCTAGTTCTCCAGTTTAACTGTGGAAGGCTTCCCACTATCAAACAACTAAGCATATAGTGATCAAGATCGTCATGATAAGAGTCAATATTGGGCAATAATCAATCTATGTACTCATCAAGTAAGGTTATCCCATTAACTCACAACAKCTACGGCGTCTCAAATCACACGACAAAACAATGCCATACACTTCTTACGAATTTCTTATTTGCTCTTAACAGGAACTAGAGGACGGCTGAGAGTATCTGTTTATAACGACGAAATGGACGACGATGACGACACAAAGGACAACAACATTGGGTTAGCATTTTCTGGAGGTGGAATAAGAAGTGCAGCATTCAGTTCGGGAATTCTTCGTCGTCTTCTTCAGAAGAACATTCAGGTCGACTACATAAGCTGTATTTCTGGCGGAAACTTTACCGCAGCGGCGTATTTGGATTGGAAATATCGTCATGACCAAACGGATGACCACACATGGCATCACAAGTTTTTTGAGAACATGCGATCACGAAGTGGTTACCTTTGTGACTGGAGCAAGTTCTACAAAGGGCTCGGAGATACAATAACAATTCTTCTGTCCTTACTATTTGTTAATATTATCATTCCTGTTGTAGTTTGGGGAGGGCTAGCCATTCCCACGGCATATCTTATAGACTTTGTCTTTGGAGATATTTTACGAACAGGATTCAATTGCAGTATACCCATCCAACATAGTTATCCATTTTCCAACACCACAAGATGTTCAAGTACATATCACCACCGTTATCCAGGCGTTCAGAACCAACTTATCTTGTTCGTTACGCTCCTTCTATCGTTCTTGTTCCTGTTTGTTCTCAGAAGCATCTTCAAGAAATATGCGCAAGTTATTGCTTTCTTACAGATACTATCAGGCACTTTGTTCGGAATGGTTTTCCTCCCTTGGTTCTTGCAACAGTTCTTTGACAGTATTCCTACGTGGCTCAGCATGTTAATCCTCGTCCTCAGTTTGTTCTTTTGGATTGGGTTTCCACCCCTTCGTGATTTTGCATCCATTGCTGTTGTTTTCTATGTTTTTGCATTCATCATCAAGTGGCGTGTTTATCGTTCTCGTTCCATACTCGTGGATTACAAGGAAGAGTATTTCTATACAGCTTTATTAGCAGCAGGAGGAGTTTTATGGGCAAGTCCATACCTGGGTGCATTCGGTAGATCTGCTATTTATACATTTATCAAGTACGTTTTAAGAAAAAGAAAATAGTTTAAATTTACTAATCTTCTCTCAGTGACATTAGACAAGCACGTC